TGAAGTAAGGTTGTAATCCCAGGCAAGTCAGTTAATATCTGACCCTCACTTTCTTCATCTACAAGGCAGGGGAAAGGATACCTCTACATATGCTTGCTAAAGAAATTTTTTTTAAAGATTTATTTACTTTTACACAAGAGCTGGGGTACAGGTCAGAGGTGCGGGAGGGTGAGAGGATTCACCAGAGACAGAGCGGGGAGCAGAACAGGCAGACAACTGAAACACACTGCTGAGGGGAGCAGCGGGCGTGACAGGAGAGGTCTGCCCCACCATGTGGGTATCTCCCTGGCTGACCGGGAATCAAACCTGCGCTGCAGAGGCTGTGGACAACTTCACAGCACTGCATTCAACCCACTGCGCCACTGGGGAGGCCGCTTGCTAAAGAAATTTAAAGTGGGGGTCTCCAGGTGGTGCATGGGTTAAAGTCTCAGCGCTCTCAAGTTATTGCCAGTCACTGTGGCCTGAGTTGGACCTGAGTTCGATTCCCCACCAGGGAGCTGACCCACCTAGCGCAGCCCCCTGTGTCCCCCACTGCTCCCCTCAGCAGTGTATTTCAGCAGATCTGCCTGTTCTGCTCACCACTGTCTCTGGTGAATCCTCTCACCCCCTACACCCTCTGGCCTGCACCCCAGTTCTTGTATGCATAAATAAAAATATCTTTAAAATAAAAGAAATTTAAAGTGGAGAGCAACTCGACTGTTCCATTTATAAGAATTCACCCTAAAGGAAATAATCAGAGACGTGGCTACACTGGGCTCCATTCCATTTCTTCCCAACTGTAGGGTAAATGAAGTGAATCAGGTTTTTTCACGCCTTCCTGCCGCTAGCCTCTACGGCCACCGGTGGTCGGCCTGCGCCTGGGTTGCGTGGACGCCCTGGCCAAGAGGCGTGGGCACGGGCATGCGCGCCTGTGATTATGGCCGTCTGGGCCCTGGGCGCGGGCGCGCATGCCTGAGTGCAGCCCCGGGCGCTGAGAGGGACGGCCAGCGGCGCGGAGACGCTCGGAGGCGAGACTCCGTGAGGACACGAGAGATGGTGAGAGAGGAAGCTGCTCTGCCCCCTGATTCAGCACTGAAGGCCCGTAAAAATGTACCGGGGCGCCAACGTTCTCGCTTTTTTTAAAGATTTATTTTATTTATTAATGCATACAAGAACTGGGTGCAGGCCAGAGGTGGGGGTGGGGGTGGCGAGGTGATTCACCAGAGACAGAGTGGGGAGCAGAACAGGCGGATCTACTGAAATACACTGCTGAGGGGAGCAGCGGGGAGACAGGAGAGGTCTGCTGCGCCATGTGGGTTGCTCCCTGGCCAGGGATCGAACTCGTGCTACAGTGCCTGCCGAGAGCTTCAGAGTGCCGAGACAACCCCTTGCGCCACCAGGGAGGCCCCCTCCAATGTTCTCTTTTCATCTGCAAGAGCCGACAATGAACCTACCCAGTCTGGGATGGTTGCACAACCCCAACTTAACAAAAATGCCCCTGAACCATCAGGATAGACTGTTTTGCTGCAGTAACAAACCCCCAAATATCCAACTTAATGAACTTAGTTTGTTTCTTGATCAAACACGCTATGGACCAAGGAACTTGGGCGCAGCTGCCAGCTCAGCACTCAGGTTTTGCTGGCTGTGGCGGAGGCGAGCAGCACAGTCTCACTGTTGTGCTAACCATCCTGCACACTTTATTTCTCATATTTCAAAAGTCATATAACCTCACTTAATTTCAAAGTGCAGGATGTGCAAGCCCAAGGTGGGAGGGAGGAGAGCAGAAATATCGAGAGCATAACTCAGCATGTCCCAGCGTCACAGCACACACTCTAAGGTGGCCCCAGGGTCACTGTTTCCTGATATGCCTCTGTATAACTCCTTCTCCTCGACTGTGGGTGGGGCCTGTGAGTTATTGCTGACCAAAGCAAAGGTGATGGGATGGACATGATCACGTGGGTAAGATGTGCCATTATGTAAGACTCCTCTGGTGGGAAGACACTCTTCTGCTGGCTTTGATGCCATGATGGGAAGGACCACATAGCAGAGTTGAAAGTGGCCTCTGGCTGACAACCAAGAAGAAACTGAGCTCCTCTGGCCCCATCTGACTGCCCCAGGAGAACCGAAGGCTGCCAACAATCATGTGCAATGGGAAATCGATCCTTCCCCAGGTGAGCCTCAGCCCCAGTCAACCCCTTGATTGCCGCTTTCTGAGATCTAAGACTCCACAGAAACTGTGACATAAAACATTGCTTTAAGCAGTTAAATGTGTGACCACGTTGCTATGCAGAGACAGATCACGGTGCTGCCTGAAGTCCTATGCTACAGTCGCCCCCGCCCAGGCCTGGCTTTCCTACAGGTCTTGCCTTTAAGCCTGGAGGCCTCCTTTTCAGACCTTCGCCGGGAACTTGGTAACGCCCTTCTCTCTTATCCTTCCAGCCTTTGTGACAAATCACTGTAACTAGTTTTACTTGTGTGGGTTGTTAGTAAATAGCTTCCCTCGGAGACAGGCTGTGCCCATCACAATCACTCCTGTGTCCTCCAGGGAACACCAAGCCAGTCCCCAACACTCAACCCACAGGAGACTCAAAACCACTCTTACCAAATGATGTTCATCAGAGTTTATTTTTTTTTTTTTTTTTTTTTTAATTTTCTAGAGGCATGTCTTATTTATTTTTTATTATTTGTTTGTTTGTTTTTTGGTTTATACATGCACTGGGTACAGTCAGAAGCGCGGGAGGGTGAGAGAATTCACCAGAGCCAGAGTGGGGAGCAGAGCAGGCAGAAGGACCGAAGTACACTGCTGAGGGGAGCAGCGGGCGGCAGGAGAGGTCTGCGCGCCATGTGGGACCCTCCTCTGGTGGCCGGGGAGCAGCCGGGGATCGAACCTGCGCCGCAGAGGCCGTGGGTAGCTTCGCAACCCAGCACTCAACCGCTGCGCCACCGGGGAGGCCCCTGAGAGTTTATTTTTGTTTTTAATGCAAACAACGAAATACCCAACCACTGAGGACTTGGTTCAATAAATGAGTTTACCCATAAGGCAGAATAGTTAGCAGTCATTAAAAATTGTTTTAGGGGCCTCCCTGGTGGTGCAAGGGGGTAAGCACAGCACTATGAAGCTATCTGCAGCCTCTGCAGCATGAGTTCAATCTCCCAGCTGGCCAGAGAGCTACCCACATGGCCACATGGTGCAGCAGACCTCTCCTGTCTCCCCTGCTGCTCCCCTCAGCCATGTATTTCAGTCGGTTTGCCTGTTCTGCTCCCAACTCTGCCTCTGGTGAATCTTCTCACCCTCTGTACCTCTGACCTGTACCCCAGTTCTTGTATGCATAAACCTTTTTTTTTAAGTTACAAGAAATTGTTTTAGGAAGATAATACTGATAAAATGTACTAAAAATGCCAAGTTAAAGGTAGAATTCAATAGTATATTGAATAGAGCAGGATCCCAAGTTGCTTTTTCAAAAATATGATACACACTAATATAATTATTTTTTTTTTTTTAATTTTCTAGAGGCATGTCTTATTTATTTATTTTTTATTATTTGTTTGTTTGTTTTTTGGTTTATACATGCACTGGGTACAGTCAGAAGCGCGGGAGGGTGAGAGAATTCACCAGAGCCAGAGTGGGGAGCAGAGCAGGCAGAAGGACCGAAGTACACTGCTGAGGGGAGCAGCGGGCGGCAGGAGAGGTCTGCGCGCCATGTGGGACCCTCCTCTGGTGGCCGGGGAGCAGCCGGGGATCGAACCTGCGCCGCAGAGGCCGTGGGTAGCTTCGCAACCCAGCACTCAACCGCTGCGCCACCGGGGAGGCCCCACACTAATATAATTATACTGAGGGGAAAGAAGTAAAAAAGGCAAATGCCAAGATATTTAGCAAGTGTCTCAACCAGGAAGTGGGCTTACATGAAGCATTTATTTTTTCTATACTTTCCAAATCGTCTGTGTGAAAGGAGGTGCCTGGCACATGACAGGGCTCCATCATGGGGCATCCCGTCCACCCCAACTCTCTGAGAGGACAAGTAAGTCATTGATGTTCCAGATAATGGGGAAAATAACAAGCCATTGGCTTCCCAGGGCCTTTGGCCATCTTGGGCTGGTGCCTACTGAAGCTGCCACCTGACCCAGAGCCAGGTCAGCTCAGTAGAGAGGCCTAAGGGCGGTCTGTGTGGGGATCCTGCTTGAGCTATGACCTAAAATTTAATGAAATTTTATTGATTTGACATTCACAAAACTCCATCATTTAGGGGGCACACCTCAACATGTGTACATGCCGACACCCTATCACCTCACCCACCTCCTGGCTCCTTGGCCCTGGCCTGGTAACCACCATCATTTTCACTGAGCTAAGAGTTATTTTTACTGTGTTTTGCTTGTTTGTTTTCTTTAGTTATTTATATTCCACAACAGACTGAGACTACCCACTAACTTCTTTCACTTTCTGACTTATTCTACTTAGCAAGATCACCTCAAGATCCACACTGCCCCGAATGGAGGTATCTCATTTTTCTTAAACAGCTGAGTAACATTCCACTGTGTCTCTGTCTCACAATTTCTTCATCCAGTCATCTGTCACAGGAATTTAAGTTGTTGGCCATCGTAAATAATGCTGCTATGAACATAGGGGTGCAGAAATCTTTTCCTACTAGTGCTTACATGATCTTCAGATAAATAGCTAGAAGTGGTATTGCTGGGCCAGATGTTTTTTCCACTTTGTTTTCTAAAGAATTGAGAGGAGAGATTTCTGACAGAAGTAGAAGCAACATCTGCTGTTTCTGTAGACCTGACCTTGGCATTCATGCCCCGACCTTGCCCCCCCGCCTGTTCTCACTCCTAAAGAAGGGGAAAAATTCTGATTTCTAATCAGTAAGGGTCAGGGTTCTATAGGAATAGAACCTGGGTGAGTTGTTCAGTGTGGCTGACGCTCATATCTGAGAGGCGGCCTGAAGATCCTGCCTTCCTAGGGCGGCTAGTGTCTGTCCACATTGGCTACTGTCCATACGGTGCCTTTCCCCTGAAGTCCCAAAGCAGAAGTGAGAGTGAGTGAAAAAGGATGTTTATTTCAGTTTGATTCCCTGATACAGATACATATGTAAAAACATAAAATCAGGAAAAAATTATTAGGCTGGTATGACCTCTCTTACTCCGCTTTGGCACAGTCTGCCAAACTGTTCCCCCTCCCTTCCCAGATGCTCCCTTCAAAACCATGCAGTCCAGGGTACAGGGCTCACTTCTTGGCAGCCTCTGCCTGGGCTGCCAAATCAGCCTCCTTCTGAGCAGCCAGGAACAAGGCCCGCTCCTTCTGGAAGGCTGCCAGCTCCTCCGCACTGAGGCTGCAGGTACAAAAAAAACAGTGGTGAGTGAGCGGGCTGTCACTGGTGAGAATCTCACAAGTAACCAGGTCACTGTCTCAGAACCCAGCTTATCTGGACCTTTCTCCCCTCCTAGACTTCCCAGCCGTTGCCTCAGTTTCCTCTGCCAGGAATGCCACCCTAGCACCCCAACACCTCTGCCTAGGGTGTGGCACCAGCAGCAAATGGATGTTAAAGGGTAAGTGCTGCCCCTGCAGTTATCTGAGCCAGAAGCTCTGCTACCCAGCATCTCACTTGAAGGAAACAATTCCTAAGGTTATCCAAAGCCCCTTGCTGGCCTCAGGGTCAGATCTAAACTTGAGACAGCTCAAAGTCCTGTCCAACTGGTCCCTGGATGTGGCCTCCCTCAGGGGGAAGATGACTCTCCCACTGAAATGTGCCCTCTCAACTTTGCACCACAGTCAAGAACTTTCTGGGTCCTGCCCTCACCCTACGTCTCCCTAGAACACTCACTCCTTCACCACACGAATGCCCAAGGAACGGGCAGAGCCAATAATGGAGCGGACAACAGCAGACAGGGGCACATCTTGTAGGGCAAAGGCATCATCCTGAGCTTTGATGCGGGCAATTTCATACACGTGCTTCAAGGTCACCAGGCCTGCCACCTCTTTCCCTGGAGGAAGGAACAAGTAGCCCATCAGGTGTCATTGCCTCCCTTCAGAGCCTCCAGAATTCCAGGTACCCACCTTGACCCTCACCTGTGTTCCGGGCTCCCTTCTCAATCCCGGCAGCTGCCTTCAGGAAGTAGGAAACAGTGGGTTGTCCAATCTTGATATCAAATGTCCTATCAGGCTTAATAATAAACAAGAAATTATGAAACTATTTCTTCCTGCCTCCCCACCCCAGTGCCCCTGGGAACTTTTTACTCCCTGTCCCCCTGTACTACAACTCACTTTCCTATGGTGCCCCTCTAATATATCAAAACCGCAGAAAAAATAATTGCAGCAGAAAGTCCCATCACCTCTACTCCAGGCCAAACTCTGCTCTGTAAGCCCCGGTGGGATGGAGGGGGAAGACAAGTGCAATGTGGCAGGGCAAGCTCAGAAATGGCAAGCTAGTCTACACTAGGTAATTGGGGAGAGTGGCACTCAGGAAGAGACTTGCCCAAGAGCACCGCAGCAACCTCAGGTGATCAACCTAGGGACCCAGGGGGAGAATAGGGGGCACTGATAAGGAAAGTGGGGATCAGAATCTCAACTCTGCACCTTCACAAAAATCTTGGTAGGCAGAGGAATGCCTTCTTTGATGTCCTTTGTCTTCTCATTGAACTCCTTACAGAACTGATTGATGGAAACGCCTCGCTGTGAGGGAAGCACAGAGGTCAGGATCGTATTCCCACCACCCGAGAGGCTCCATCAGTCCCCGCCTCCACCTTCACATCTCTGTCACCACTCTCTTTTATCCAGATCCAGTCACTTTATGTGCCAGCTGATTTGTATGCATCCTCCCTCTTTAGCCCCCATCCAGGGGTTGAGCTCGGGAAGCTGAGGCTGAAATGGCTACGTAACTGACTCCAAGGCATAAAGCAGAGCCGAGCTTTGACGAGACCTCCCTGGCTCCATGGCCCGCACCCTCCACCCAAGAACTATCTCCCACGCTTCCCACGCTGGGTTCCAGACGCGGCTGCACCTGACCCAGGATGGGGCCCAGCGGGGGCCCGGATACAGCCTGGCCTGCCCGGACGATGGTCCGGATCACGCCCCCGGCTGCGGGCTTCTTGAGCGTCCGAGTAGCCCGGCTTAGCTTCGACATGATGCACTGTTCCCGGCCTTACTACACCACAGGGCAACCGTAAGAGCGAGCGCTCAGGACGCCGCCATCTTGAGTCAAAGGTTAAGGGTCCTCACGTTCGGCTAGGGCAGGTGAGGACTACAAATAGCAGTCTTGTTTCAGGTCTTCCTTCCGTTCTCCAACTAGTAAGACAAAGAGGGTCAGATGCAAAGGAAAAAACTTTTAGTTTATCATATGAAGATAGAGGAAGGATCCGAATGGCTTGGGTACACGCGTTCCTCACACAAAGGCAGTGCTTTGGACAGCTAAGCTGGGGGCCTTGATACTCGCTTAGCATTATGGGTATAGTAGTTTTGACCGCTTACGGGCTTCCTGCCGCTCTCTGAGCTGGGGCGCCAGCTGCTGGACATGCTGATAGTCCTTCAGTTTGAAATGAACCTAGCGCTCCTGTGGAGTAGCACCCTCCTCACCTGTTGTTGAAAGACAGAATGGTTAGAGTACAGAGCGAACTACCTGAGTAGTCCGTGAAGCTGATCAAACTGTTTACTCCTAGGGATTGTTGTGGAGACAAGTTAGCACTAAGTGCGTTAGAACATTGCGCACCTCCCAGCAAACAGGTGCTGACTAGCCAGGAGCCGATAAGCGCCGGCCTCATAGAGCTGATGTGAGGCTTAACAGGCCCAGAACGATCCCTGTACGTCATCTGTGTGCTGAATAGGCTAAGTCAGCGTTTTATTTTGTAGTTTAACTTTTTGACATCAGCCACACGCCAGGCACAGTGCTAAGCTCCTCACCAGCATTATTATTTTATTCGACCCTCACAATGGCTTGAGGCAAATTGTTTTACTATATTCCTTCAGCAAATTACCAAGTTGAGTCCCCAAAAGGGGCTTTCTCTGTGCAAGACAGAAAGGATGGGATTTCCTGATTCTAGACCTTGTGCCATTTACCACTACTCACTTAGATGCCAGCCCTGCCTCACACATGACAGCATCTACCTGCTCCCAGAAGAAGCTGCTCAGTAGTTCCACATATTCCAGAAGGTAAAATTTTAATTTCTCAGCTTGCCCCTCAAGGGTCATAGGACTTCAGGTTGAACCCACCTTCCAGCCTCGCACCTTCCTGGCACCTATGGATTGTTTGTAGTGAGCACTGTCAAGCCAGTCCATGACCTAGAGGTTCCCTGTTCTCAGGAACTGCAGCTCTGAGCCACAGGGCAAACATTTGTGAATGACATGACCCTATTTGCCAGGAGTGGGCATCTGATCCAAGCTGGCTACACTTCCTCCTCCTATAATTTTTCATTAAAATATAGAAATTCTGTTCTCAATCTAGGCTGATCTCTTGAAAGAAAGTATCAAAATTTGGGAGATGTGGCTTAGCGGCTTCCTCCCTCAGGCAGAGTATGTTGATCTGCATTGGGGGAAGATAGATGTCAACAAACAGAGAGCCAAAGAGAAGTGGGGTGTACTGATTCTGTTACTGAGCAAAGGGGCCCACTACCCACCATGCAAAAACCACATTATGACATCAAGGTTTGAGAAAAGGAAGAGGCTTTATTGCAAATTGATTGGCAAGAAGGTAGAAGAGTAGAAGATGGACTCATCTCAACCTCTCCAGCAAAGAAAGAGAATGAGGACCTCCCTGGTGGCGCAAGGGGGTAAGTCTTAGCACCATGAAGCTATCAGCAGCCACCCAGGCCAGGGGGCTTACCCACATGGTGCAGCAGATATCTCCTATCTCCCCACTGCTCCCTTCAGCAATGGATTTCAGTAGATCTGCCTGTTCTGCTCCCTACTCTGTCTCTGGTGGATCCTCTTACCCCCACCCCACACCTCTGGCCTACACCCCAGTTCTTGTATGCATAAATAAATAAATAAATAAATCTTTAAAAAAAAAAGAAAGAGGGCCTCACCTGGTGGCACAGCAGTTGAGCACTGGGTTGTGAGGCTGCCCACAGCCTCTGCAGTGCCGGTTCGATCCCCGGCCTCTGGCAAGGGTCCCACAAAAAAAGAAAGAAAGAAAGAGAATGAGTTTATATTGGTTTTGGGGACCAGGATTGAGAACAAAGGAAGTTAACTTTTGTTGGCTAGTGAGTGGCTTAAAGGCCAAGAATTGTGGACTTGGCTGAACTACACTGGCTAGTTACAGGGCGTTCACACATGGAGAAGTAGGAAGAGGCCTTTCTTCAGATCACTGGAGTTTTGAATTTCTGTCGGCAGGCCCCTGCCTCCAGGTAGCCCTCCAACCCCTGTTCTCTGTATTTGTGTCTCTCAACTTCAGCCAGCCTGGAGCTCAGGACAAGGTTAGTGAATCAATGTCCAGGCTGCGTGGCCAGCCCTCGGGGGTCGCCTTGGTTCCTGCAGGTGCTAGGACCTGCAACAGCTCAGTGGAGCTAGGTGGGCATGTCCCTGAAGATGCTTTCTCACTCCTCTCCCGTGATAACATGCTCAGCCCCCAGAGTCTTCAGTCTGTCGGGAAGCTTCTGGATGCCAGGTCTGTCTCGGGCCACGGTCCTCACACCCAGGACTGCAGTGATCAGGTGACTGCTTGCCCCACTCTACAGCAGGACACATTCTGGAAGGTGGAATCCCTGGCCGCAGCTGCTCGGAGTCCGTCCACATGCCGCAGGCCGTGATAGACGGCAGCAGCACTCTGAAGAGGGGGCGCCCTCCGCAAGCCTCCTCGCTGAACACGGCTTCAGTCCGCTGGCAGCATTTGTTCAGTCCAACAAGCGTTTGCTGGAATCACCGGGTGTCCTGCTGCGCCCCACCACCCCTTCCATGCCTTCATTTCTCCAAGCAGGCAGCTTGGGAAAGAGGCTGTCATTTCCTTGGGTCATACTATGTCACATGGATTGATAAGGCGGTCAACCTCTTCACACGGATGCCTAACCCCTCCCCCCAGCAGCCAGCTCCTCGGTCTTCAGGTCCACGACCTTGGCTGGGGCCTGTGGTGCCCAGAGACCAGTGTCCAGACCCAGGAGGGCTCAGCCAATGTGGAGTAGCTGGCAGCAGCAGGTTGGCAGCGGCCCAGCATGGGCAATGCCCCCTGCTGCAGCTGGATGGGGTTCGTGCCCCCGCATGCAACATGCTCCCTCCCATTAACTCCAGGGTCAGATTTAATCTCAGTCCTTTTGAATCTTTTGCTCTCCACCCCACTCTTCTACCTGGAATGGCTTCTCAGGTCCGGTGAGATAGCCCCAGTGCCAAGGAACAGGAGAAGCCAGAGGCCTGTGGCCCAGAATCCCTGCACCCTGGCTGTGCCCCTTTCAGCACTGCCCGCCAAGATGCTGTTCTGGATACCTGGGCCCAGCTGTGCTGTTCTTGCCTGGTGGGCTCACATTTCTAGGACTCGGCAGGTTAGGCCTGAGAGACGGGCACACGGCCCCCCACTGCCACCCTTACTTGGCTCCCCGGGCTTCTCTCCATAGTCTGAGAACTGAGGCCCAGGCTCACTTCCGATTCCCCACGCTGAGGCTTCTAGCTTTCCCCAGCCCCACTGTCCCACCCACAACAGGGCCTCCAAGGCTGAGTCCAGTCTCTTAGTTCTTCCTTCTCTCCTCTCCTCTCCAAGCCTCCCAGCCCAGAGCCCGCAGGGGTTTGTTTTTCAACATTCTTTCTCGACCAGATACATAAATATTCTTCTAGCCCCTGTCTTCAGGGCTCTTAAACCCAAGACTTGATGAAATGGAGGTTGTATCTTGTTCCTCTTCGTCCCATTCTTTAAAGAGAGAGAGAAGAGAGGGGAGGAACAAAGAGATTGACAATACCACAGGTCGGTGAGATTATTATTCCCACTAGGCAAGTAAGTCGTCTAGCAAGGTGATGAAGCTGGAGGGATGAAGAGCTGAAGAAGCTGGCACAGGGCTCAGAACTTGGAGCCCGAAGCACCGACTGGAAGTCCAGGCATCTGTGTCTTTCGATGGTGCCCCCCTCCTTCTGTCTCTGCCCCCCTGGACAGTGCCGCAGGCAGGCTCACCCCAGCTTCCCATAGGTTCTTTGGGATTCAAACCCATCCACCAAGCAGCTCCAATCTGATCCCAGGGCTCCATCCCAGGAGAAATCTCTGCCTCCTTGCGGCGAACCCCGGCTCTCTCGCCCCTTCCCCTGACTGAGGTGGTGGACCCCACCCTGGCTCTGGTGAAACCTCAGCTCCCCGACACTGAGTGACTTGGGCCAAGTATCTCCCCACCTCCCACCCTGAGCTTCAGTTTCCCTATCTGCAAACTGGGGGTTTTAATTGTAATTCAGCGCGTGCCCGGAGGGGCTGCTCTGGCAGGCAATGCAGCTGGGAGCGCAGGGGGTGAGACAGTCCTAAGGTGGCGGTGCATGCCTGCAAGGGGCGCAGTGCAGGCTTTGGGGGTGGAAGCCTGCCCATGGCAGAGTGGGTGTGGCCTGCTTGGCAGTGGCCTCTCAGGGATTTCTCTTGATTAATGAATGACTTTGTCCCTAAAGGACACACAGGGAGCTTCTTCCTTGTTTCATCTGGCTACTGGGGCCCCAGAACAGTTGGCAAAGCAGTTGGTATCTTGGACTATTTTTAGGTGGGGAGTGGGTGGGGTGTGTGGATGTCCTGGGGCCCAAGGGAAGTCGGGGAGACTGGTAGTTTCACAGCAACAAGTTTTTTTATGGGGGGCAGGTGCTCCTTCTCAGGAATGTGTGGGTAAACTTCCACTTATGCAAAGGCCACCTCCTCAGTGAAACACACACTCCAAAGGGGTGTGTTAATGGCTCACCCATAGCTTGTGGTTATAGTTCTAAACAGACCAAGAGACAGTGAGTGGTAGGGATCTTATCTGGAGGGCCTTTGGGTCTCTCTTGCTCTGTGTTTGAGCCCCATCCTGCATCCCTAACCAGAAACGCAAGGTGTGGACATTAGGTGTTCAGACGTTGGAGTCACACAGCTCAGATCCACTCTCAGCCCTTTCCAGCGAAATCATCACTAGGTCACTTTTGCAAATCTGTTTTCTCATCTGTACAATGGGTGAGTACCATGTGTGTGCTAGGAATGAAAAGCCTTATTTTGCTCAGAGCGCAGGGCATAGACGACAGAGATTTCCCATAACCCAGGGCGGCCCGAGCTGCGGCGCGAGCGCAGTGCCTGTGGCGTCTCGGGTGGGGGTGCGTGCGGGCC